CCCGGCTATTTTTTGGTTGCAGCCATCATTGTTGTTTGGCGGGTCTGGGGTGGATTCAAACCTGCCACCTTAGGTGTATGTGGCTGGCACCTTAGCCACTTGAGCCACAGGCGCCGAGCCACATTTTTCTATTTTCAATAGGCATAGGTCTCACTCTTGTTCAGGCTGCTCTCTAACTCCTGAGCTCAAATGATCCTCCTGCCTTGGCCTCCCAGAGTGTTAGGATTATAGGCATGAGCCACCACCCTGGGCCATTGACCTGGTTTTTCTAGGAGACAGGATCTGTGAACATGAGGGTAGAGACTGAGTCTACCTCAGCTAATCTCAATAGTTAAAGGCATGGAGGAGATAGTCTGAGGAGGAAAAACAATATGAAGGGGAAAGGAGTTGAGGAGCACAGAAAGAGGGAATCATCAAGACTCACCAGCTTCTACAGGTGTCGTCTTCTGATAAGCTGTGGTGGGGGCCTGCATTTCACCAAAGCCGGCAGCGCTCTGCAGAAGGTTACAACTGTATGTGAGGGGAGGGGCATGTGGTAGTGACCTGAAGGTAGTGTTGGGGGTTGGGGCCACTGTAGGTGGCATCCCCAACCATTTGATGCTCAACAGCTGGGCAGGGGTTCCAAAATTGTTCTGAGATAGAGAGAAGGGGGTAATGGTTTGTCCCTCTACACAGTTCACCTTCCTAAGATGAGGAGATGGAGTAGGGGCAGACAATCTCTGGGGGTCTGCTTACCTCTGGAGGATTCTGCCTGATGGGCAGTGGGGGCACCGGTTGTTCTCTGCTGGTTCTCACAGGCTCAGGTTCTGATGACTGAAGACTCCCTGCTGGAGGCCAGGCCTGTGGAGAAGGAAGCCTAGGTCAAGTAAGCAAACCTGCATCTTCACACTTACACTTACCAGCAACACCCTTCCTGCTCTCTGCCAGTTCAAATTGAACTCATCCCCCCGATGGGCTCCTTCCTCTTAGTTCCTGCGCAATAATTGGCTGTACTAGTTGGTGACTGGCTGCCTGTTGGAGTATGTAAATCTTGGGGTTTTTTCTGGTATATGAGACTTAATTGCAGTCAGACTGAAACCTTCCTGAAGACAGAGACAGCAGACTGCCTAACACAGGGTAGGCCTTTGCCTCATTTTCTACCAATGGTTTGAACCTCTTAGGATCCTGTCTGGGCAAGAGATCCTAGATGTGGATCCCAGAAGGCAAGGCACTCACCTCAGAGGAGATTTTCTTGGGCAGTGGAGCCGGTGCCACTGGTTCTTCCACAGGCGCCACCAACTGCTGATTCTCGTGGCTCGTGTTTTCCGCGGCCTTTACCATGGCCTTTACTGTGGCCTTTGGCTCCTGCTGCTGCTTGGCCATCTGCTGAGCCTTCTCCTTTTCCTCCAGCTTCCTCTTCTCCTCACCCATGGACTCAAATTTTGCCATCAGCCCACGGGCACCACTAGAAGCTACCAACACAGGGAAGAAGAATTGAGCTGTCTCGGACTGGGGGCTAGGGGAAGGGATGGAGCTTGAGGGAAGAAGAGAAATTGGTTTAACACCCAGGAGGAGAAAAGATGGGCAGGGGACTCATGGAGGGGAAGATAAAGAGGTACTGATGGAAGAACAGGGGGATTAGAGGACAGGGTTAAAGCCTCAATTTCCATATGGCCAGGCTGTGCAACCTCAGACTCTTGTCCTTTCTGAGTTAGAGGTCTTAGTCCCCTTACCAGCATCCCTCCCTGTCTATATTCTTTAAATCTGTGTAATTTAGCCACCACCCACCCTAAACCCTACCCCACACTGCCATGCCTGAGCCTTTCTCAAGTGGTTCTCCAGGCTTCCCTCCCTGGGTTCTCCACCCATATTCCTTCCCCAGTGCCACTCCATCTCTCTATCCCATTGATCTGGGTTTTCCTTTCTTTTTTTCATGGAGGGAGGCTCTCGGGGTGCGACCAAGTCTCACTCTGTTGCCCAGGCTAGAGTGCTATGGCTTCATCCCAGCTCACAGCAACCTCGAACTCCCAGGTTCAGGTGAGCCTCTTGCCTCAGCCTCCTGAGCAGCACCTGGGACTATCAGTGCCCGCCACAACACCTGGTTAACTTTTTTCTATTTTCTTCTTTTTTTTTTTAAGACAGAGCCTCAAGCTATCCCCCTGGGTAGAGTGACGTGGCTTCACAGCTCACAGCAACCTCCAACTCCTGGGCTCAAGCGAGTCTCCTGCCTCTGCCTCCCAAGTAGCTGGGACCACAGGCGCCCGCTATAACGCCTGGCTATGATGGGAAGAGAATGTAAGAGATGTAAGGGGAGGGAGGTGGAAGGCAAATCAGATTCCTTGGGAGACCCAGAAGACATTGAAGCAAAAGCACATTGCTGAGACACCCCAGCTGGGATAACCAACT